TCAGCAGTGAACTTACCTAATTGTTACAATGCATTCCCTTGGAGCCATCTGTTATACCTGGCTAGCTTTCTACTCTCATCCCAACCAAACTTCAGATGAAGACGAACCTTTTCCCAGATAATTACACTTCATCAAATCTGCTGATATGTTTTATTGAAATCTCCAATGCATAAGTCAACATCCCTCTAAAGGCTAAGGGTCTGACTACACATTGCATAGGAGAGGACTGATTCTTCAAGAGGGTTTCGCTCACTCTGCTCAACCAGGACCAAGAAGATCCTACAGAGTTCCTACTCCTTGATCCAAAAATAAATGGAAGAAACAGAACTTAAGAGAATATTAAATAAGCTAGATGGTTGGGGGTGCTGGAGAAGGTAGTATTAAGAGAGGCCAAGTTTTGGAATAAATGAGGCAGTTAAGAAGTTCCGGGGCATTAAAGGACTGACCTTCAGACTTCCGGGTGTTACAAAGGTCTAGCAATCCACAACAACAGACAGAGGGCCTCAGCGGCAGCTCCCTAAAGCCTCTGACAGGCACACTCAGTCCTGTCAGCTTGGACTCAGCCCTGCCAACGCCAGCAAACAAACACATGCATTCTTCCCAGAGCTGACACCCCATACAACACTGCGTCTCTACAGGGCCTGTTTAAGAAGCCAGATGCTTTGATGTTGGAGTAGAAGTTGGGAAGTTATGTTTAAAGAAGTAGTTAGTGACAGGAGCAGAGGGAGGACAGAAAATAAGCAACAGTTCCTGGCTTTATTCATAAGTTTAAAAAGTTTTAAGGAAATTGTCAAATGGGCTGTACAAAGGAATGAGAAGTAAGAAAATTATGTCAGTCACCACCACAACTCTGGCCAAGGCATTTCCTCAGTTCCTTTAAGACAGTTTCATGCCTCCCCTCAAAGGGGTGCTTACAGCAGAAATGTTTTGAAGCAACCCAGCCTAGCAACCAACATTAATAAAGTCTTCTGGCCTGCTCAATTTCACTCACGTACAAAGGTTATAAATGTCACAAATACTCCAAGCAGTTGAAGGAAGGAATCAGTTAAAAACGTGGCATGAAAGCAGTTTTCAGTTCAAGGCAAAAGGAAGACTATCGAGCCTAAGAAAACAGCATTTATAAATGATTCTTAATAATAGCTTAGTGAGTGCTAATAATGTGCCAGACATTGTTCTAATGAGTTATTACATAAGGTATGTATATATTATACAACACAATGTGATATGTTGTATTACATACTATAACTCATTACGACATAATACAATGTAATGTAACATTATATATGTATATATTAATATGTAATACAAATATACATTATGTAATATAATTTACATATATGTATATATTATGTATATATAATTCAACACACACTCATTTAATTCTATCACTCTATGAATTAAGTACTCTTATCTTCACTTCCCAGATTAGGAACTGAGACACAGAAGGCTTAAGTAACTTACCTAAGATCACACAGTGACATGGCCAGGGTTCGAACGCAGATCGTCCAGACAAGGCAGTGCTATACTGCCTTCCCATGATATGTCAAACCCTTAGCACAAAATTAGGGAGAATAATTTTTGGAAAGGTATAACTATTTATCTTTCTCCTTTGTTTTTTACCATCCCTTTTTTTTTTTTTTTTAGTAATAACCAATATTTTTTATCTCCACTTTCCCATGAGTCTATCATGGCTGATTTATAATACTATAACTACAAAGGAAAATGTTTTCCTCTCCTGCCTCAACTCCTAAAATAGAGCACTTAATCATTAGAACTTCTATGTGGAAAATATATACTGCATGTAATAAACCCAATACATTTGAAATATATTTTAAATTAATAGATTGAAAAGAAATGATATGGGAAAAAAACCTTAGAGATAAAAAGGGAGGCTTGGGCAAAGAGAAAAACCTTCATGGACAAAGAAGCCTGAGTGGTCATCAGGACACCGGTCTCCTAAAACCGTAATGTAAATGTACTATTGTGTTTAAGCTTTACCGTGCTTTCTTAAGAAGACAGGCTAAATGCTAATACAAATATAAGCCATAGAAACAGGCCTAGTAGTTTGCTACAACCTTCTGAGGCTTTTTGTTCTCCAGTCTAAATGATCTTTTCTTTGTATCTTGGCACCTCCAGCATCTAGCACAGATCTAGGCATTTGGAGAGCATTCATATACATGGATGATATGAATGAATGTGGCTTGAAACGAACAGCACCAAGTTAAAAGAAATAAGAGAACTGTGAACTTTTGATTTTTCTTGGGACTCAAATCTTGTCATATTATATAGGAAAATGATTCTAAGAGCACTTTCCTTCCCCAGTTGTACAAAGCATACAATATCTCTGATTAAAAGTTGTTCCGTCATGCTGATACTTTTATTTCACACTGTTTTATAAAGGGTCCCAAAATACTAGATCTCTTTAATACAGGTCAGGATTCTTTATGACTTCTAAAAACAAATAAATAAATAGAACAGGCTACTACATAACAATTCTTGGTTAAGGAAGTGGTACTTTACTTAACCACTTTTGAGGTAAAGGATATTAAACAAAGGCTCCACTTTTCTTTTTTTAAACCAGATACAGAAAGGATGAGACCACAGATGATCAACAAGGGCAATTTTTTTTTTTTTTGAGACAGAGTCTCGCTCTGTCACCCAGACTGGAGTGCAGTGGTGTGATCTAGGCTCACTGCAACCTCTGCCTCCTGGGTTCAAGTGATCCTCATGCATCAGCCTCCGGAGTAGCTGGGATTACAGGTGCATGACACTGAGCCTGGTTAATTTTTGTATTTTTAGTAGAAACAGGGTTTCATCATGTTAGTCAGGCTAGTCTCGAACTCTTGACCTCAAGTGATCCACCTGCCTTGACCTCCCACAGTGCTGGGATTACAAATGTGAGCCATGGTGCCTGGCCAAAATAGCTATTATAAATAAGGTCACTGAAAAAACACTGGGAGAGAAAAGCTAAAAAAAAAAAAAAATCATTAGAAACTGCTAAATGAAAGAAATAAAAGAAAATTTCTTAAAGAAGGAGTGGTTTTAGTTTGGCTCATCCATAGATTTGGCCTTAGAACCCCTGAGCTGGTTTTCTCAACCTCTTGCTTTGGAATCAATCAATATATTACAAATGACATATCAATTCAAACTAACCAGGAAGACTCTGCCTCAAGGAATAAACAGAGGCAGGGCATAGTAGCTCAGGCCTCTAATCCCAGCTCTGTGGAAGGCTAAGGTGGGCGGAGCACTTGAGCCCAGGAGTTCAAGACCAGCCTGGGCAACTGGGCAAAACCCTGTCTCCAAAAAAGAAAAAAGAAAAGAACAATTAGCTAGATGCATGTGCCTGTAGTCCCAGCTACCTGGGAGGCTGACGTGGGAGGATCACTTGCACCCAGGAGGTCAGGGCTGCAGTGAGATGTGATCGCACCAATGCATTCCAGCCTGGGCAAAAGAGTGAGACCTCATCTCAAAAAAGTAGTAATTACACAAAAATTAGCTAGGCATAGTGGTGCACACCTGTAGTCCCAGCTACTCAGAAGGCTGAGGTAAGACCCTGTCCAAAAAAAAAAAAAAAAAAAAAGGAGTAAATCTAAATCCAGGAGTAGCTGCAGACCTAAAGTTAGGTCAACCAGCAAGAGAAGAATTTGAAATATGGAATAAGAATGCTGTGTCCAGCTGGCTCAGGGAAGGAAGTGGTCCAGTATAAATTAAGCATCAGTGTTGTAAAGCCTTTCTCAACCCCCCACTGTGAGAAGGAAGTCTATTCTATTATTTTTTTTTTAATTTCTCATCAAGTAGGAAGACTTCCCAGTACTCATTCTACTCAATCTGTCCCACCCTTCAGCACTAGCTTGGCCTCCTTTATACAACTGCTGCTCCAGCTGCACTAAGCACAGTTATTCCTGAATACTTGTGTCTTGTGTCCCCAGATCAGAGAATTCTATCACAGGTAACAAGTATGGTCCAGATAACTGGGCAGTCCAAGGGGAAACTGAGGCTTGGCTGATATTGAAATGTGATTACAGAAAGACAAGTGCAAGCACAGAGCCTTGGCCACCCATCCCTACCCCCAAGTGCAATTCATTCTCTGTGAAAGAGGAAAACAAGCAAGCAAGAAAATATATAGAATTGAAAATACATTATGCAAATGTAGCTAGCAAGAATTAAATTGTTAATTATAGAGAAAAAGAAGATGCCCAAGTTGTGCAGAAGCAAGAAGCCAGGACTTTCTTAATAACTGGTTTTGTCAATCCAGTAGTGTGCAAAGGTTGAGCTTGCTTGTCCCCAGGGACAGAAATACCACAATTCTGAAAGTCTTTTGACCGAGAACTGGCTCAAAGCAGAATGTATGCAATTCCTTTCCTAAGTATTGAAAATCTTATCACCACAGATGTAGACATACTAGTCAGGGTTCCGTACCACGACAGAAGGTCAAATCTGAAGGAGTAAGAGAGATCACATAAATACTACCATCTCATTTCCAAGCTAGTCCCCTTAACTATCAAAACACACACGGTGACCCGACCGCTGCTTCTGGCCTCCTGAACTCCCGCCTCTCCACCCCGAAAGTACTGACCCAGGGAGGACACACCTTTGCTTCTGCGCAGCCCAACTTCTGCAACCGCTCAAGAGTTAATTAATTACTCCTCCAGCTTCCTGGGGCCTAACAGCTTTACTGGGTCCTGATTTTTTATACAGACGGAAAACAATGACGCTCAAGAGATTTTGACAACTTAAAAAAAAAAAAAAAAAAAAGAAGAAGAATGCGGTGGAAGTCTAAGATTGCCTCCCCTGTGACGAAACACAGCCCAGCCGGCCGCCCGGGCCCGACTCCGCCCGCCTGCCCGCCGCAGTTTCCGAGCTGCGGCCCGGGGTGGCGCGGACGCGGTGGGGCCGGGGTCTCCTTCGGGAGTCGCGGGGCGAGCTAGGCGCGCGGGCCGGGAGGGGCGCACTGGCGGCACCTCGAAGCCGAGCGGCGCCCGGCCCCGGCGCCCGCTCACCTGGTGCGTGTTGTTGGCCAGCTTGGCGACGAAATCCCGGACCCGGCCGCATTCCTCGTCCTCGCCGGGCGCGCTGCGACGCCAACGGCCGCCGCGGGGAAACGCGCCCCCGGCCGCCGCCGCCCGCAGCCCCCAGCTCACCCCAATGGGGCCGGACCAGCGCAGCAGCGGCGCAGCAGGCGGCGGCGGCGCGTCCAGCCGGTCCTGGCCGAAGGTCGCAAGCGGCAGCAGCTGCAGGAGAAGAAAGAGGCCGAGGCCGTGGGGCCAGCGCAGGAGGACGGCCGCAGCTCCTCGGGGTCGCTCCATCGCCGCCGAAAGCCGACGCCGCCGACGCCGCCGACACCTGCCGCCCGGCGCGCCCGCCTACCCCCGCCGGCGCGCGCCACACCCCCGAGCCGAGCGCGGCGCTCCTTGGATACGCGCGGCCGGGCCTCTCCGCCCCATAGGCTGGCCGCCTGTCCCTCTTTCCCGGCCCACTTCTCATTGGCTCGCGTCGCCTCCGGCTTCGGGGGTCCTGGATTCGGATGCCAAGATGCGGGACTGATTGGCTGGAACGTGGCAGAGACTGCTGAGGTCAACCCCGCCTCGCCCAGCGTCTCCAGGGCCCGGCTGACTGAGTTCACGTAAGAGCTTTTCCCACCTTCCCGCCGAGCCCCGGGCTCCTGGCGCCGCGACCCCTCGCCGCACCTCTAGCGCCCTCAAGTTGGAGCTGTGTTACTTCCCTCTTGTTCCCCAGAGACACCCCTAAAATTCCTTCGGTGAGGCAGAGCCTGGAAAATCTCCCCCGGGGAATCCCTGAGCTCGCTCAGCTGGAAAAAGGAGCTCCATCATGAACCGGGGCTTCAGGTTTTTATAAACCCCGCTCACTGGAGCGCCCATTGTCGGCTAAGCAGCCCCCTTGTTGCCAAGGTGAATGCGAACTGGTGTGGGTCACATCCTACGGAGACAGACGACAGGACATCCGAGACTCCTGCAAGCCTGAAGAATAGACTTTCCACACGTTTAGCCTCTTTCGCCTTCCTCTTCTGCGGGGAGGTAGGCCAAAGGCGGAATTACAGGTTTTCCAGTACTTCGAATGTAACTTAGACATTAGGGGCAGGTAAAAGGGGGCAAATGACCCAATGCCTACCGTTTACATGATAATTTCCTAGATGCACATGTACTTTACAAGAATGCCTTAGCTCTGCAGTGAGAGCTTCGCACAAGTTTGGTTCCAGTATGTGATGTCCTCTAAATTAGAACCCCAATCCACCTCCAATGAATAAAATAAAAGCCCTACGCTGTTCCCTTTACTGCAGAAGCTGCACACATAACTTCTACAACACGTAGTACAGGTAAAACCAGTTCTGAATCCTTAAACTGACTCTGTCCCTTTGGAAAGTTAGAAATTGTTGAGTAGAAAAGGTAGCAAATAGAAAGCTACAAAATATGCAAATCGTTACACTCAAAGAAAGTAAAGATGACTTTTAACTATACGCTGGCCATAAAACCAAATGAGGGTATACAATGTACAGCAAAATGATACAACGCAGCAACCCAATATTTACATTAAAATACTTCTAGTCACGTTAACTTTCAAACAAAAAGACTTAAGAATTTAAAAATTTTCCCAAAACAACCATAGTAAGACGTGAGAAGTGAAAAATGTTTTTGAATGCCATCTGAGCAGGAGAGTAAAATCACAAGAATAGTCTTTAAGTTACCAGTTACTGGACTGACAAGATAAAGCTGATGAAAACTGGTGAATAGTTTGTTCCTTTCATAACGACTATCAGATTAATTTTTAAAATAAATTATTTTAAAATCTATGCCAACTATGGGAGTAGATCACAAGACAGTCAGTTGCAATAGCATGTGATTAGGTGGGGGGAGGAAAGGGGGTTATAAAGGAATATTTCTTTGTTTAGGTGACACAAAGATGAATGGTCTATTGTCTTACTGACTGAAAAGACAAAAACACCTCAACAGTGCCATCTCCTGGAGAAATTACCAAATACACTTAAACTCTTAAATTCGTTGCAATTATCTGTACGTTCACTTTTTAATATGTTGCTTTTAGTTGTCACAGGCTTACAGTACTTATATTTCCTTCCTCAAACTGTATCAGCTTCGGGGGACATGGTAACTTGCATATGGCACTGAGAAAACGTTTGAGTGAATACATTTAGTATTTCACTTCTTTGTTAAAATCAGAAACCTTATTATATTTCATTTTTGTCTAATGAGACTGGCATTAAAGTTGCACTGTCAGTTTTCTTTTGTGAAAGGACTAAAATAGGTAAATTTATCTTATTACTAAAAACTATACCTTTCAGGATACAATCTAATAGCAGAACGTTAACACAAAACAATTACACATCATGAAGCCATTGCTTTTCCTAGTAAGATCACTTCTTTGACCTAAGAAAGCTTGTTTTAATATTCTACAAAAAAAATCAAAGTTCGACCTCTTTGAAGAATGCCAGTTATAATTATAGAAAGTATGAAACGTACTGTTTTACCAGGTAAAACACAAATACATTGCCTAGCCAGTGGGAAGGAAAACAATAAGCTGAGGCAAACAGAGATAGGTTAAGAGCTATTCCTTAGTATTTGGGCTTTTTTTTCCCCCTGTGAAATCCATGTGATTCAGAGACACAACTCACCTCTCCCAAAAGGAACAAGGGCTTTATCCACTTCTGCATTAACCTAGAGTTAAAAGGGAATGTTGTTTGGCACTCCCCACAAGAAGTTTCACAAGAGTACAGATTCTATCTAACAGCTCGCTGCCTGATGACTGATAGACTTCTTGGCATATAGTAGCTAGATGCTCAATAAATTTGTTACATGAATAAATATAAATTGAGATAGGATTTTCAATGGTATTTCCTATTAGGATTTAATAAAACAAAGTGATCTTGAGAGAAACAAATGTCCCAATCAACATGCTATATTTAATAAGAGCATTAAAATCACTAGAAGTCTGTGGAACATTGAGTAACAATGTACTATAGTTCTCTACTTTCCTTGTATGTTATCTAGGGCAAAATCCCTTTCTTCTAAATGTTTCTGGTCATTGCATTATTGAAATGTATATAAATACAAGTTGTTTTTTGCTGAATGAATTCAGCTTACTCAATAGTCATAATTTATTAACATTATAAACTACAACTTCCTACACATCAATACACCCAGAGCCCAGCAAATAATTATGGGGTCCCTGTTAGTGAATTAAATCAATTCTGCATCATCCAAATATGGATTAGCCATGTTGTAGACAGTGCAAGTACTTTTCAAATCTCCAGATTTCCCTATTACTGAAGAGTTGGTGATCTGAAACAAGAAAATCTGAGCTGTTCAAGTCCCAACAGAACAGCTTCATTTTGTGTGTCCATGGGCACACGGCCTTAGATTTCTCATCTGTAAGTAGTGATACTGATACCATCTTCCCATGGTCATTTTTGAGGCTGAGATAGAATGATTCTTTAAACAATCTCAACCAATCATAAGATGGCAGCTTTGAATGGGGGGAAGTTCATAATTCATTCCAAAGTCTAATGTAAACTGCTTCTGAATTTTACAGTTCTCTTATGGATATGGCTGAGATTTGTAATTGACTGCCAGTGAGGCCAAGGTCATTAATTTATTTTTTAGGCCTTCACTTCATAAACAGGCAAATCTCTTTCCAAAGTGTCTATCAAAACCCGAGAACTGGTACAACACTATTGATGGCTTATTCCAACCCATCAATGTTTTGAAAAGGACTTCAAAACATGTTGATGGTCAATTAGTAACATCTCCTTATAAGAAAAGCAGCAAAAATACATGTTTGCTCAATAAATTACATAATGAAATGGATTTACAGTGCTGTTAACATCTATTAACCACTGGGAAGAGCTGGACTAGTACATTTATCAACACTAAGGTATTAATGGATATAGTTTATTCTGTTATAGAACATCACTGAAAGTTTTAGAACAGGTATCTTCATAGAATAGGGACATCAATCCAGGTGCGGTGGCTCATGCCTGGAATCCCATCACTTTGGGAGGCTGAGGCGAGTGGAACATGATATCAGGAGTATCAAGACCAGCCTGACCAATATGGTGAAACCACGTCTCTACTAAAATTACAAAAATTAGCCGGGAATGGTGGTGCAAGCATGTAGTCCCAGCTACCCAGGGGGCTGAGGCAGGACAATCGCTTGAACCAGGGAGGTGGAGGTTGCAGTGGGCTGAGATCCAGCCTGGGTGACAGAGCTAGACTCTGTCTCAAAAAAAAAAAAAAAAAGAATAGGGATATTAATAACACTGTCCTTTTGGCTTACTAACATATGCATTTCAAACAAAAGACTGTATTACAATGGCTGGGAGCAATAGCTCACCCCTACAATCCCAGCACTTTAGGAGCTGGAGGTGGGAGGACCACTTGAGCCCAGGAGTTCAAAACCAGCCTGGGCAATATAGTGAGACCTCATCTCTTTAAAAAGACTATTAGAAGAGAACAGACAGTCTATAAACAAATATTTTAAAATTTTCTTTATTTCAGAATTGCCTTTATGTACAGACATCATTAAAAAAAATGCACATACAATGGAAATTTTCCAAGGAACAGGAGCTGGAAATAAAATTTATGGACATTATTAGAACTGAAATTGTCCCAGAGAAGTTCTGAGGATCAGGCTTCCTTAAATGTCCTTGATAACCTCTTCAAGTTCTTCCTTTGTGAACATGTGGAAATTCTGGCCAGGCTGCACTGTGGCTAGCTGGAAAGAAAACAGAAGGTTTAACAAGCTGGGTTCAATTACCCTGCGGATGGTCCTACCACGGTCAGAAGAAGCTGCGTTGGTGATGCAGCTATTCATGAGGAACTAAGGGATCTGCTGTCCCAAGGAAATCCTTTCCAGGCAGCAGGTCCCTAAAATAGCTCTCTGGTTCCAAAATAAAAATGCTTATTGACCAAATTTTCTATTTTAAGGTGAACTCACCACATCATACTTAACCAAATGCCTGGCATCACTGTCATTTATTGAAGTCACTTCAACAAGGACCACAAAAGCAGCAACAAAGTGCATGGACTCAGTACTTTTCTCTGTTAAAGACTCTTTTAGAAATATATTTAAAGTATATTTAAATACTTAAAAGTTGAGCTTGTGTGTGTGACCTCAGGTTACTTGGCCACCTGTGCCTCTATTTCTTCATCTGTACAAACGGGGACAATAATAATAGCTAATTCATAGAGTAGTTGTGAGGATTAAATGTTAATATATATAAAGTGCTTAGACCACTGTTTAGAACATAATGCACCAAATAATCATTAACTATTATTGTTAGACATTTTCTCTAAAATTGTTCATGTGGCAAAACGTTAAAAAAAAAATGTTTGTTTTGTTTTTTAAAAGGACTGACCAAGAAAAGACTTCATTAATTCTGGCATAGGAAATTCATTGTGACTGCTGAAGATATCAGTAATAACCGGAAGTCCAGATTATATTTACATTTATGCAACAAAAAAAAACTAGGGTCAGAAGATGGTTTTCCAATCTCTCTGCTGATAATGTCCCACAGTTTTAGGCAATACTCAGCAATAGGTGCCACTTCACATTTGCCTCAAAAGATTTGTGTTTTACATGTCATATCCTCATAGTGTCTTTTTTTTCCCCCTTCAATTTTAAAACTAACATATGGCTGGAAATAGCATGTAACCTATTACATGCTGTTAAATGCCTGTAACCCCAACACTTTGGGAGGCTGAGGCAGGAGGATCACTTGAGTCTGAGAGTCAAAAACCAGCCTGGACAACATGGGGAGAGTCTATGTCTACCAAACTCCCTTCCCCCGGCCCCCTGCAAAAATATAGCAGGGGGTGTGGCAAAAGCCTGTGTCCCATGTACTCAAGAGGCTGAGGTGGGAGAATTGCTTGAGGCTGGGAGGTTGCGGCTGCAGTGGGTCGTGATCATGCCACTGCACTGCAGCATGGATGACAGAAGGAAGGCCTGTCTAAAACAATTAGTAATAATTTTTTAAAAATTAAATGTACTAGCACTTCAAAGTAATTTTCAGTACTGATATTTAATATAACTTGAAAGTTGCTAGACAGACTTAGCATAATCCAGTTACGTGATGTTTAGTATCTTCTGCCTCATCTATAAGTAAAATTCAGAAAGACTGCTGCACATCTTAAGATATCTGTTATCTAGGAACAGACTTAAAAAAAAAGTTCTCTTCTCAAAGCCTGTGGTCTCCTCTAGATTCTCCTAAAAGATTTATCTCCAATTACATGAAAGGTCAAAAAAGTCCCAAATATATTTGCAAAATATATGTAAACAATTAGTTTACCATATAGACCATGAGTTCCATTCTGAGGATGTTTAAACATACAAATACTATTATTACTGCTTCTTTTGGCCAGGCGTGGTAGCTCACACCTATAATTCCAGCGCTTTGGAAGGCTGAGGCAGGCGGATCACTTGAGGCCAGGAGTTTGAGACTAGTCTGGCCAACATGGTGAAACCCCGTCTCTACTAAACATACAAAACTAGTTGGGCGTGGTGGTGCATGCCTAATAGTCCCTGCTGAGGCACAAGAATCGCTTAAACCTGGGAGGTGGAGGTTGCAGTGAGCCGAGATTACACCACTGCATTCCAGCCCCGGCAACTAAGTGAGATCCTGTCTCAAATAAATAAATACATTAAAATGTTACTACTGCTTCTCTTAAGGTATATCTTTACGTGATGATCAATGATGTGAGGATAGAGAAATACAAGGGCGATAATCTAAAGAGTGAGGGCCTAAAGAATTTCACTCACGACTCAGGCTAGCCTCTCAAAACATTACAGGGGCTAAAAAACAGAAACTGGGAAAAAACTGAGAACAGTCCTACAGAAGAACTAGAATGCAAATCAATACTATTAATAACAGTTTGAGCCAAGGACTGCCTTCAGGAAGTTGCTCATCACTAGGTAAGTAAAAATAATCCCTTACTTTTGTGTAATATTAAAAATGTATTTGCAGACTGAGAAAGATACTTTTCTATTTATTATCTCACTTTCAAAAAACACCTCCATCAGGCACGTAGAACAGATATTTTCTTTCAATTTATTCCACCAATAATTAAATACTAAGCACCTGTGTATTAGTTACAAGTACTTGTGACTAAGAATTCCAAAGACGAAGAAAGTCTGTCTTATTTACTAAGTGCAACATGCCAAATGCATTCAATGCCAGGTAAGTGTTTATAATAGAGCTAAACATATGTATAAGAGTGATCTGGGGGAGCCCAGGAAGGCTTCAAGGAGAAGCAACTTTTGAGTTGTATATTAAACCATGGCAAGAATGGGTCAGACAGACAGGAAGGCCAGACAATATGCAGATGCACAGAACCACAAAAGAACATGACGTATTTAAAAAATTGAAAGTAATTCTGGAGGGGTGCCAAGATGGCTGGGAGAAGACAACACCAGAATGCAGCTCCCAGCGAATGAGACACAGAGGGCTAGAGAACTTCCGGATTCCAAAAGAGGTGCCCGGTTTGTTTCTGTGGGACTGATAGGGCACTGAAAATAGGCCCAGGGAAGGAGCCGCGGGGGCGAGAGCTGCCCAGGGGGACAAATCAAGACGGGGAGGGGGGGCTGCGTCCCCACCTGAAACGTGCAAGCTGGCTCGGAGGGTCTGGGGGACTTAACCCCCTTGGTGCTCCAATTCGGATCCTGCGCTTACCTCATCCCTCCTGCAACCCACGGTCCACAAGAGCCCTGCCAGACGATGGGGGCACAGTGGGTAGCCGATTCAAATCTGATCGGCGGTGCGGCAAGTTGGGGTGTGGCAACTACCATGGGGTGCGGCAAGTTGTCGCAGGGACCTGGATGGGAGTTTGGACTAACGCCAGTGGGACAGGCCGTCCCACAGGGGAAGGCAGAGTTGAAAGCAGGGAAACAGACCATAAGGCCTGGCAGGTCCCACCTCCGCAGAACTCAAACTGAAGCCCTCGCTAGAGAGCTTGGCAGCAAATACACCACCTTGACCCCAACCAGGAAGATCCAGCTGGGAAGGAGTGACGCCATTGGGAGGCAGGGCCAATCTCACCTGCAAACAAACTCCAGGGAAGGACCACCCACCCCAAAACCTGACTGAAAGAGCTCAGCAACGCCCTCTACAGGCCAAAAAAGATACAGTTCCAACCTCAACAGAAAAAATTGTCCATTCAGAGACTCCTGAAATCACCAACTTCAAAGATCAAAGGGAGATAAATTCACAAAGATGGGAAAAAAACAGCGCAAAAAGGATGAAACCATCAAAGAACAGAACACCTCTTTGCCTCCCAGGGATCACAACTCCTCACCACCAAGGGAACAAAAAAGAGAACCAATTTGATGAATTGACAGAAGCAGGCTTCAGAAGGTGTGTAAAAACAAACTTCGAGTTAAATGACCATGTTCTAACCCAACAAAAAGAAACTAAGAACCTTGAAAAAAGGTTAAACGAAATGCTAACTAGAATAACCAGCTTAGAGAAGAACATAAACGACTTGATGGAGCTGAAAAACACAGCATGAGAACTTTGCGAGGCATACACAAGTTTCAACAGCCAAATCGATCAAGCAAAAGAAAGGCTATCAGAGATAGAAGATCAAATCAATGAAATAAAACAAGAAGGCAAGATTAGAGGAAAAAAGTGTGGAAAAAAATGAACAAAGCCTCCAAGTACTATGGGATTATGTGAAAAGACCTAATCTACGCTTGATCTGCATACTTGAATGTGATGGGGAGAATGAATCCAAGTTGGAAAACACTCTTCAAGATATTATCCAAGAGAACTTTCCCAACCTAACAAGGCAGGCCAACATTCAAATCCAGGAAATACAGAGAACACCACAAAGATATTCCTCAAGAAGAGGAACCCCAAGGCACATAATTGTCAGATTCACCAGGGTTGAAATGAAGGAAAAAATCCTAAGGGCAGCCAGAGAGAAAGGTCAAGTCACCCACAAAGGAAAGACCATCACACTCATAGTGGACCTCTCAGCAGAAACTCTGCAAGCTAGAAGGGAGTGGGGGCCAATATTCAACATCCTTAAAGAAAAGAACTTTCAACCCAGAATTTCATATCTGGCCAAACTAAGCTTCATTAGTGAAGGAGAAATAAAATCCTTTATGGACAAGCAATTGCTGAGAGATTTTGTCGCTACAAGACCTGCCTTACAAGAGCTACTGAAGGAAGTACTAAGCAGGGACAGGAAGAACCAGTACCAGCCACTGCAAAAATGTACCAAATGGTAAAGAACAACGACGCAATGAAGAACTGTCAATTAACAGGCAAAACAACTAACTCGCCAGTAACAAAATGGCAGGATCAAATTCAAACATAACAATATTCACGTTGAATGTAAATGGCCTAAACACCCCAATTGAAAGATAAAAACTGGCAAATTGGATAAAAAGTCAAGACCCATCAGTGTGCCGTATTCAGGAGACCCATCTTACATGCAAAGATGCACATAAACTCAAAATAAAGGGATGGAAGAAGATTTACCAAGCAAATGGAGAGCAAAAAAAAGGAGGGGTAGCAATCCTAGTTTCTGATAAAATGGACTTTAAACCAACAAAGATCAAAAGAGATAAAGAAAGGCATTACATAATGGTAAAAGGATCAATGCAACAAGAAGAGCTAACTATCCTAAATATATATGCACCCAATACAGGAGCACCCAGATACATAAAGCAAGTCTTAAAGACCTACAAAGAGACTTAGACTCCCGTGCAATAAT